GATATTCAGGAAGAGGAGGATAGAGACTCGAGGAGGAAATTGGCGTGCTTCATTATACGAAATCGCCTGTATAAAATGGACATCATCACCGGACTGGGGGCGGGCATCAAGCGTCGCAGAAGACCGGTTGTCGTTGTAGGTGTGGCTCGTGCTGCCAGTTATTCGACGCTCTAAGCGCCCCGTCTATTCCGCCTCTTTAAAATTGAACGTGGCAACGGTGGCAACCGCCGTTTCTTTTATGAACACGATCCACCAACTCGACCGGCGTGGAATATGCATTCTAAGAATACGTTCTAATTAACATAAACGCGGCGTCGAGAGGTTTCAGCGCGTCCGAAGGTAGAGAAAATTCCTCCTCTTCCCCTTGGGCGACGAGAGTCCTATGCTTTGTGGATGTAGAACACGCTGAAGAAAGCCCGACACAGTGTGTACATCATTGCGTCTCGATACCAGGGATATCGAGGATATTTATGCAAATTTCACGCGAACGTAATTGAAAAACCAAAATATGCATTGCAACTGTACTGCGGATTTTTGTGCATTTGTAAGTAGGTTTGAAGTGCAGAAATTGCACGGAAGGTTTGCGATACGAATAGATGCTTTCTATGATACATTTGACGAGTGAAACATTTCTCTATCGAGATTCGACTTTCTCAGTAATATTCTCAAAAGTACGAATTTTGTAAATCTCACAGTCTAATTAATGGCTGAGGTAAATAGATGTACGAAATATTCAGAACATAGTGCTTTCTGCGATTTGACGATTGAAACATTTCTCTGTCGAGATTTGACTTTCTCATTAATATTCTCAAAGATACGAATATTTTTTTTTTTTTTTTAGTAAAAACTTGTCTACCGTCTAATTAGTGACTGAAGTAAATTGGAAATTTAAACGTAAACGCGATGACGAAACGTTTATTCGTTTCATACCTGACAACAACAGTCTACGTTTTGCAATCGTGGCATTACGCAACGAGCATCTTACACTTGTGAATTGTCACGTTTCGATATTTCGCGAATGCAAATCGGGGGCCAAGGCGCGCTATTAGTCCGGTAGTGTTCGGTGGGAAGTTCGTATTTTCGATTAGGGTCTTTGGGAATTTGAACTCTGAACCGCCGGTAGTGATTGAATGTCGGGGAATATAGAGTTTCGTGTTGTTCTCTGTCTCTACGTTTCTCTCGCAAGAAATTCAACAATCGTGATCGTGAATACAGAGCTCGCCTCGATGGAACGAAGCACAAATTACCGAGAACTCAAGCGTTTGCGATCACGGCGCGATGCTTGGGTGCCGGCTAAGTAGAAAGTGGAACAAGATCCACCACCACCACCACCACCGGGCTGCTTTGTTAACTTTCTACTTTGACATTTTCCATTCGCGAATCCTTAAGCGAATCAGGCGAGAGTTTGCCTTGGTAAATTCTCTCTTGATTCGAGAGCAGTATACACTACCTTCTATAAGTATTTGGACGTGTTCGAGTACAGGGAGGGAAAGGGAGATTCTTTAATCTGGTTTTCATCTTTGACTTTACTTTGATTTTACAGGCAATCCCGTTGAATCGTGTTTGAAAGTTCTGCGACATTTCTGATTTCATATTGATTTATTAATAAATAAAAAAATTTTTATAATACAATTGTTACACTTGTAAATATCGATACTTTATAAATTGTTGAATTTGTTAAATTTGTATGATACACAGAACCTGTTATATAAAGCATTGTTTAATTTCTCCAATTTTCAACAAAACACAGCAGTTGTGCTATGGCTCAAAAAAAAAAAAAAAAAGAAAAAGAAAATGAGCAGAGTTT